CCGACATCCCCAGCCCCCACCATCACCCCTGACTTCCCCTATCCCCCACCAACCGGCTGTTGATGCCCTCTAACCCACACCTGTCTCTCTAGGTCTGCCCCTCCTGGATCTGTCCTAGAATACACTCATGCAGTGTGTGGTCCTTCATGACCGGTTTCCCTCACTTAGTGTAATGCTTTTAAAGCTCATCCGCTGTTCTGATGTTGCTTCGTTGCTTTTTAAAAATTAATTACTCGTTTTTGGCTGTGCTGGGTCTTGGTCGCTGCAAGGGCTTTTCTCCAGTTGTGGGGGGCGGGGCTCCTTGCTAGTTGGGGTGCGCTGGTTTCTCGATGCGGTGGCGTCTCTTGTTGCAGAGCACAGGCTCTGGGGTGTGTGGGCTTCAGGAGTTGTGGTGCGTGGGCCCAGGAGTTGCGGCCCTCGGGCTCTGGCGCGCAGGCTCAGTAGTCGTGGCACACGGGCTTAGTTGCTTCGAGGCCTGTGGAATCTTCCCGGACCAGGGATTGAAGCTGTGTCGCCTGCACTGGCAGGCGGATTCTTACCGCGGAGCCACTGGGGAAGCCCCCGAGCAACTGATGACTTTTGAGGAGCAACTGGGGGACTAAGAGGCTGTGGGGCAAGGTTTGATCGGTGGGCGGAAGGGGGGCATTCTCCTCTCCCTCCTCTGCCCTCGAGTCTACGCCGTGGGCCTCTGATCTCAGTCTGCGGGACTTGGGACGGCAGGAACGCAGCCCCGGCTCTGACAGCCCCCACCCTGCCTTCCCCAGGGGTCATTGCCGGAGCCGTGGTCGGCGTCCTCCTGTTGCTCGTTCTGGTGGGCCTGCTGGTCTTCTTCCTGAAGAGGTGAGACTCGGCGCAGGGCTCACGGGGCACCTGGAGGGGGTTCCGGGGGACAGACAGGGACCCTTGCTCCAACCTCATTCCCCGAGCCTTTCCTCCCCCTGTCCTTTTCCCAGGCATCGGAAGAGGGAGAAGAAAACCGCACCCAAGGATCTGCAGATCAGGTGAGCCAGTCTGGGGAGCACACAGCGACTCGCTGTCAGGTCAAATCCAGTTGGCCACCAGACAGATCAGAGGGCAGGACTAGGGGACCCGACCGCACATGCCTTGAAGGACCAGCCCCCTGTGGCAGGGACCGTCATGCCTCCACCGCTGCCCGCTCCCTAAATGCTCCAGGCCCGTGGCTACGGAATGCCTTCAGTCTCCACTCTGGGAGTCCCGCTCATTCATCCAACAGCACGTCCACCGAACCCCTGTTAAGAGTCAGGCAGTGTTGTAGGCAGCAGCAAAGATTCCTGCCCTTGTGGAGCTTACCTTCCAGCACAAGGACTTCCCTGCGGGTCTAGGGGTTGGAACGCCAGGCTTCCACTGCAGGGCACACGGGTTAGACCCCTGGTCGGGGACCTAAGATCCTTCAGGCTTCGAGGCACAGCCAAAAGCAAACACACTAGCACACAGGAAGCAGAACAAGTTGATGAAGGCCGTGATGGTTCCGTGGAGACAAATAGAGTGAGAGGTGGGGCTGAGAAGAGTAGGGGAGCAGTATTTTAAATAGGGTGTCCAGGAGCAGCCTCACTCAGCAGATGACTAAGAGAAAACCATTTGAGGACAGACCTGAAGCAAATGAGGGGAAGAGCCCTGTGCCCACCTGGGGAAAAGACATTCCAGGAGGAGGCCCTGAGGCAGTCGCCTTCTTGGGGTGTTGGGAGAACAAGGCGTGTCTCTGAGGCTGAGCAGAGTGTGGGTGAAGGGAGGTGGGTAGGAAGTGAGGTTGGAGAGGTACCAGGTGGGGTCAGATGAGAGTGAAGACTTTGCATTTTATCTGGAGATCGCAGTGTTTGGAAAGTTTTGAGTAGACCCGTGATACAGTTAAGAAGCAAAGACAAAAAAGCAGGGAAGCAGCAAGATGTGTTTAATAATGCAGATGTCGTTAAGCCTCAGAGCAGGAAGCGGTTAGAGGGAATCAGACTCAAGATGTCATCTGAGTGTTTAAACAGCAGATCTGGTTAAAGATTGGATGTGTTGGTGTGAAACTCAGAGAGGGCTCAAGAGTGACCCCACGGCATTTAGGCTGAGCCCCAGGAAGGCTGGAATCGCCACGACTTGAGGTGGAATGCCTGTGGTGGGGGCAGGTTTGGGGGGAAAGTGTCAGGATCTGAGTGGTGGACACACTGACTTTGAAATGCTTGTTGGATGTGCAGGTGAAGACGAAGATAAACAAGCCATTGGATAAAGTTCTGCAGTTCAGGAGAATATTTGTGCAGATGCCTTCATCACTCTGGGTCAATCGTCATTAAATCTCTTCGTTAGAATAGTCCCCAGGGATTAACAGAGGAGAGTCAGGGCAAGGAGTTAAGGAAAGCTGGGAGACCAGCTGTGAGGTTGTTGTTCAGTTGCTCAGTGGAGTCCGACTCTGTCACCCCATGGGCTGCAGCACGCCAGGCTCCCCTGTCCTTCACTACATCCAAGAGCTTGCTCAAACTCATGTCCATTGAGTCGGTGATGCCATCCAACCATCTCATCCTCTATGTCCCCTTATCCTCTTGCCTTCAATCTTTCCCAGCATCAGGGTCTTTCCAACGAGTCAGTTCTTCACATCAGGTAGCCAAAGTATTGGAGTTTCAGCTTCAGCATCAGTCCTTCCAATGAATATTCAGGACTGATTTCCGTTAGGATTGACTGGTTTGATCGCCTTGCTGTCCCTGGGACTCGTGGGCACAAAAAGAAAGAGGGGATGGCCACCAGAGGTAGATGCCTGAGGAGGAGTAAATACAGGTGTGGGGGACGATGATGTCCAGTTTCTCCTTCGCCGTAGAATCTGTTCTGGCCAGCATCCTGCCTCCGGTCACCCTCTGACCTCTCCCCCCGACCCTGTGTCCATTATATGGCACCTACGACACATCTCTGCACCCACTGGATTCCAAGTCTGGTCCCACCTATACGTCGAGCATTTTGCCATCTTCCACCTTGGGGTGCGTGTTTGCATGTGCCAGCAACGACCCTCGGGCAGTCGCGGGTAGAGATTCCTGGAAGCTGGTGGGAAACAGGTCCCAAGCGCAGGACGGGGAGAAGTAGGGACTGGAGATTTAGAAATTGCAGACTAAGGTGAAGCTACAGAAGTGGTCAAACCCCATGAGAAGCGTGTGTCCAGTGGGAAAGGGGGACTCGAGGATGGACTCCTGGGAACACCCCCCTTTTAGGATGGATGGAGGGTGAGGGGCCCACCGAGGAGGAGGAGCAGCGGGCAGAGAGGCCGGTGGTGGCGCCAACCAGGAGAGGGTGGATCCAGAAAAAAACCGAAGTGCCGTCAGTGGCGCCGAACGCTGCGGAGCACTGACTTGAAGGATGGCCTGAGAGGTGGCCTTTGGAACTGGAGATAAGGAGGCAAATCAGATAGGGGACTTTGAAAACAGTCCTCGTTCCCCTGGAGTCGTGGTGCAGACAGCAGGCTTCGGTGAAGGGTGGGAAGGAAGCAGAGAAAACCGGCCTGCCTGAGGAGCCTGAACGCAAAGGGGCGTTTTCATCTGTCTCGTCGTTGTGTGGGTATGATGAAGCCACTGGGTCCGGAGACACACCACGAGGAGGCAGTGTCCTGCATGCACAGATCCCAGCGAGGGTCACACGTCACACCAGCCAGGGCCACGCAGACACAGACCAGGGTCGGGAGGCGGGGGACCCCCAAGGAAGAGGCTGTATCCTGGTTTTCATGCAGGAAAGTGGGCAGTGCACGCCAAACAGGTTCAACTGGAATCACCTCAGCGGACCCCGAGGGCTGTTCCCTGTTGCTGGTGACAATCTGAGCGGACAGCCCAGCATGTGTGGTCCTGAAAGGGGCGGTGATGAGGGTGTGCAATTTATTTTTTTATTTTTATTTTTTTTAAAGTTACTCAAATAAGTATGAAGTTTTATTAAGATCTTCTATAAACACATCTATTCGCTACTGAAAATTGAAACAGCGCATCAAAAACTTTTATTACTATTTAACACACTAATAAGGCTCTGGCCAAGCCAGCCAATGTTATCTTTACATTCCTTCCCAAGTTAATTTGTTTCAAATTCTTGATATTGAGTTTCATCTTATAGCAAACTTCAGGTTTAAGAAACAGGCAATACCTGAGACTTAAGTAGTACTTCTTGGTGTCAGATCAAAGTGGAACTAGTGTATATTCAAATCATCTCAAATCCAAGCTACATATAGATTCCTCGTAAGTTAACTGTATTAAGGTAGAAAAGAGATGCAAGTAAAAAAGACAAACTTACAATATACATTATCAAAATATTGGTACAATCTTTCCCAAGCTGCTTCCTAAAATTACCAGCAAGAAAACAGTACAAGAATAAGGTTTATGACTCATTTGATTCCATGGCATAATTACTGTATGTTGTGTTATAATAATTCTCATAATTATCATCAGAAGGATTTCTGTTAAACTGGCAATAACTACAGGTACACTGGAATCTTCTCATTCTTGATTGAATCTCAGTGTCCTGCTGCTGCTGTAGTTCTCTTTGAGAGTCAGAACGAGGAACTCCATTGGCATAGCGAAGTCTAAGAGATTCAATCAGCTTTTTCATCCTGTATCTCCGCTCACTCAACACCGTTCTTACCCCTCTCCGCCTATTTGGTGTTTTCTCACTAAGTAACTGCCCGGTTGGTTGAGATGGGTATTCTGGTATATACGGCAACTTGATACTAGGGTTGAGAGTCAAGTTACTGAGGTTCGTTGCTAACATTTCAGAGTTGAGTGGCAACCTGCATTGCCTGGGAAGCATCGTCAATGGATGTTTTAAGAGACTCTAGGGTCCAGGTTGGGTTATCCTCTGATGAATCCATCGGAAGTCTAGTCACAGCTTGAAGCTCCTCCTAGATCTTGGGGTGCCAGTAGAAGGCGATGCTGTAGGCTCAAACTGCTCCAAAGAAGCATGGAGGAACTATAGAGCTAAGAAAGAGGGAAAAAAAAACTCAGGCTGACGCGCCAAGGTGAAAGAGTCGAGGGTGTGCAATTTAATCAGCTCGTCAGGAAGGAGAACTGGGGAGCTCCCTGGTGTCCGGTTCACCGCCAGGGCCAGGTTCAGTCGCGGATCCGGGTTGGGGATCTCCTGCAGACCACGCAGCTCGGCCAAATGAGTAAATACAAATGGAAAGTGTAAAAATAAACCAAAAACCAATTACTTTAAAAAAAAAAAGAAAAGAAAAACAAGAAAAAACAAAACGAGAACTGAGCTGGTGAGCCTCCAGCCAGGGACTCAAAGCCGAGTTTGGACGACTGTCCTTGTAGCACTGCACTCCAAGGGAGGGGGCGTGAGCACCTGGAGCGGGAGCCCGCGAGCTGGCGGGGCGCTTTGTAGTTTTGGCTGTGCCACGTCTCAGCTGCCCTTTAGGCTTTTCTGCAGCTGCAGGCGCAGGCTTCTCACCGCGGTACTTCTCTTGTTGCCGGCACCAGGGATCGAGCCTGTGTCCCCTGCATTGGCAGGCGGGTTCTTTACCACTGAGCCACCAGGGGAGCCCCAGACGATTACTTTTTTCAGTTCGAAAGTGAGAGCAGCATGTTCACACACGAACGGGGAGAGGGCAGACCCATGCAGGGCCGCAGGGGATTGGGGCCTAGACATGGGCAGAGGCCCCAGAGGGCAGAGGAACACCTCTCCCTCTTTTTGAGTCAAAACAAATCCCAAGGGGCTTCCCTGGTGGTCCAGGGGTTAAGACTGTGCTTCCAGTGCCGCGTGCCTGGCTTCCATCCCTCCTCAGGGAACCTGATCCCACATGTCACAACTAGGACCCAGCATAGCCAAAAAACAAACAAGCAAATTTTGATCGTGGTAAAAAGACAGATAACCTGTAATTCACCACTGCAGACTGTTTTTAACCGCTCAGTTCAGTGGCACTAAATCCATTCCCATTGTTCTGCAACCGGCACCATCGTCTATCCATATAACTCTAAAAAAAACCACAGCTTTGTTTACTTAGGCCAAGTTGCATGACTTGTGGGACCTTAGTTCCCCAGTCAGGGATCAAACTGGCACCCTTGGCAGTGAAAGTTTGGAGTCCTAACCACCGGACTGCCGGGAGAGTTCCCTAGAGAACTCTCTTCACCTGCAAAAATGAAACTCTGTACCCAGTAAACACTAACTCCCCATTTGCCCAATCTCCCCAGCCCCTGAAACCCCTTCTACTTTCTGGTTGTATGAGTTTGATGACTAGCTGCCTCACATGGATGAATTTGTCCTCTTGTGACCGGCTCATTTCACCCAGCAGCAGGCCCTCATGTTCGTCCATGTTGCCTTATGGGTCAGAATTTCCTTCCTCCTGAAGGATGAATAATATTCCACTGTATACATAGACCACATCTTCTTGATCCATTCCTCTATCAATGGACACTTGGTTTGCTTTCACTTTTTAGCTACTGTGAATAATGCGGCTATGTACACGGGTGTACAAATATCTGAGACATTGCTTTCAATTCTTTTGGGTGTATACCCGCAGACGGATTGGATGAATGAGAAACAAAATCCCTAATGTAAAAGATGTCTGCACCTCCCATGTTCATAGCAGCAGTATCCTCCATAGCCAAGATACGGTAACAACCTGGATGTCCATCAGTGGATGAATGAACAGAGAAGATGTAACATACATAGATGCTAGAATATTACTGAGCCATAAAAAAGGAATGAAATGATGCCATTTGTGACACCGTGGATGGACCTTTAGGGCATTATGCTAAGTGAGATTAGTCAGAGGAGGACAAGTACTGTATGATGTCACTTACATGTGGAGTGGTCGAGGGAATTCCCTGGTGGTCCAGGGATTAGGAGTCAGTGCTTTTACTGCCAGAGGCTTGGGTTCAATCCATGGTTAGGGAACTAAGATCCTGCAAGCTTTGTGGCATGGTAAAAAAAAAAAAAAAAAAATTTTTTAAATTAAACCTCAGACGCATACAGAGGACACATTGGTGGGTGCTAGAGGCAGAGGGTGACATGGGTGAAGGAGGATAAAAGGTCCAAACTTCCAATTATAAGATAAGTAAGTCCTGGGGTGGTAAAAAAAAAAAAAAAGGCAAAATCCTCTCCTTTTATCCCAAGAACATGCGGTTAAAGGTGGTTCAACCGACTCACCCCTCTCCCCCCCGCAGGTTCCCAGGGGACATCCTGGCAGAAGACTTTGCCCAGCACGTCTGGAGAAATGAGAGGGACAGCAACTATGGCTTTGCCGAGGAGTACCAGGTGGGGTGAGCCGGGCCCCATGCGCCCACCAGCCTCTCCCGCCCCTGCGGAGCTGAGCCGAAGCAGGCATGCCCAGCTGGGTGGCTCACACAGAAATCCTCAGCCACGATCGGCCACCTTTTTGACTCTCACACTGGTGTCCAGTAGCCGGGTCCCTCCTCTCTTGCCTGCCGCCACCCCGGGCCCCTTTCTCCCAGCAGCCGTCTCAGACGCCCCCCGGGGACGGTGGGCACACGCCTCCTATCTCTGTGGGTGCTGCAGAACTCCGAGGGGCAAGGGGTGAGTGGGGTGGCGCCACAGGGCTGGCCCCGGGTGGGGGTGGGCCGAGGAAATCCAGCGCCCGTGCACCCTCCCCTTCCTCCGCCCCCAGAAACTGGCCCTGGAGGACCTCGGCCAGTCCCAGATGGTGGCCTCAGCCCCGGAGAACAGCGCCAAGAACCGCTACAGGAACGTGCTGCCCTGTGAGTCTCGAGCCCCTGCTGTTTTCGCCCGCATCGGCGGGCAAGAAAGGCAACACCCAACACGAGGCAACACCCTCGTCCCTTGTTCCCCTCGAGAGATAAAGCCCCTGCCCCCGTGAGCGAGGAGCCCCTTGGCCGGCTCCTTCCGACGGGGTCCCTCGCCCCGCTCCCAGCTCCTTGTGTCCGCCCGTCCCCGCCTTCCCCGCTCCCTCCGCGTCGCTAACTCCAGCGTCTCCCCTTAGACGACTGGTCCCGCGTGCCCCTGCGGGCCCTCCTCGGACAGCCCGGCTCCGAGTACATCAACGCCAGCTTCATCCCCGTAAGGCTGGGGTCAGGCTGGGCTCAGCCTCGGAAGGTAAGGGCCGGGGGCAGGAGGGCCCTGACCCGCCTGCCTCCCTCCACCAGGGTCTCTGGAGCTCCCAGGAGTTCATCGCGGCCCAGGGCCCCCTGCCGCAGACCGTGGGTGACTTCTGGCGCCTGGTGTGGGAGCAGCAGAGCCACACCCTGGTCATGCTGACCAACTGCGTGGAGTCCGGCCGGGTGAGGGGAGCCCCGGGCCCCGGGCTGGGGGGACCACCCTCCAGGCTCCAGCCTGTGATCCTGCCCCAGACACGGGTCCCGGGGAGGACCCTGACCCAACCTCGGGGTTTCCCAGCACGACTGCGCCCCTCCCACCTCCCCCAGTCCACCCGCTGGGCCTCGTATGGGGCGAATCTGCTCTGAAAGACCTGAGGAGGGGGCAGGCCGCCTGGCTGGGGTGGCTCTCCACTTGGTTCCCGGGCCTGGGGCAAGTCCCCGATGCTGAAAGCCAGAGCCACCCGCGGGGGTGCTCCGGGGGAGGGTCTCTGCAGCCGCCTGTACCCTGACCCACCCCCGTCTCCCCCCAGGTGAAGTGTGAGCATTACTGGCCTCTGGACGCCCAGCCCTGCACCCATGGGCCCCTGCAGGTGACCCTGATGGGGGAGGAGGTGACGGAGAACTGGACTGTCCGAAACCTGACGCTCTGCCATGTAAGCCCCGCCCCCCTCGGCTGGCGGTTCCTCCCCCCTCCCGAGCTCCATCGCTCCCACCAGGGACCTCCGTGGGCCCCAGCGGTGCCCCCACGCATCGGAAACTGGCCCCGGACTGAGGTCCCCTCAACCCCTGCCTCTAGGAGCAACAGAAGACGACTCTGCCCGTGCGTCAGTTCCACTACGTGACCTGGCCAGACCACGGTGTGCCCCACTCCCCAGACCCCTTGCTGGCCTTCTGGAGGATACTCCGGCAGTGGCTGGACCAGACGGTGGGGGGTGGGCCTCCGATCGTGCACTGCAGGTGAGGAGGGGCCGGACCCCCGCCCTGCGCCTCAGAATCCGGCCCCTCGGGTCCTTCGGGGACTTGTGGAGGAGACCAGGAAGGCATGCAGGAGATGGAGGCAGGAGGTGAAGGGGTGGTGGTGCAGGTTGTGAATGAGGATGAAGATGAAGGCATGGGAAAGGAGGGAAAAGAAATAAAGGAGGCAGCGGCATGGGCGGGGAGGAGCGGGTGAAGGACAAGTGGGCGAAACGGCCAGAGGTCTTAAGAAATGTTTAAAACACCTCCTTGGGGGAACTCCCTGGTGATCCAGTGGTTAGGACACGGTGCTTTCACTGCCAAGAGCCGCCGGTCATTCCTTGGTCTGGGAGCTAAAACCCCACAAGTCTCACGGCTTGGCAAAATAATAATAATAATAATTTAAAAATTAAAATGGTTCATTTTATGTTTAAAGAAAAATGACAGGCTTGGGAGCTCATCTGCTCTGTCTGAACCCCAGCTGGTCACCGACCAGCTGAGTGTCCTGGGACAGTGGGCTTCACCTCACTCACCACATTGCCCTCTCTGTATAGTGGACACGCTCAGCTGACAGTTCCTACTTCTGAGGGGTGGGACAAGTGCACAGAAGACATGAGGCATCCGGCACGGGGCCTCGCAGATAGAACTGTGCAGTCATTACTTATTACTTGCTACTTATGAAGCAACCCCCACTTACACCGTAGCCTCCAGAATAGCCCCGCTAAATACTGGAGTAGCCCCTGGGTACTCCAAAGACAGAGCCCTCCAGTCAGCGGGGGCTCCCAGCGCCCCCGTGGCCTGACGCCTCCTTGTCCCTGCCTAGCGCCGGCGTGGGCCGCACGGGCACCCTCATCGCCTTGGATGTGCTGCTGCGGCAGCTGGAGTCCGAGGGTCTCGTGGGGCCCTTTGGCTACGTGAAGAAGATGCGGGAGAGCCGCCCGCTGATGGTGCAGACCGAGGTGAGGGGGTCCCCGGGCCCGGCTGGGTGGGCAGGCGGGCAGGGAGAGCTGGCCCGAGGCTCAGGTGGGCGCCTCCCACCCTGCTCTGTCTCCAGGCCCAGTACGTGTTCCTGCACCAGTGCATCCTTCGGTTTCTGCAACAGTCAGCCGCAGCACAGGCTCAGAAGGGGGCCGCCTATGAGAACCTGCTGATGGAGAATACAGCTGCTACAGAGGCCTAAGCTGTGGGAGGGCTGAGACCCCCGCCCTTCTAGACAGACTCTGCTCCTCTGCTTCAGCCCAGATGCCTGGGCCCCATGGGACAGCTGAGCACTGGGGTCCCAGACTCCCGGGCCCTGAAGGAAGTGAGGGGACCAGCAGCCTAGATTCCTACTTCCTGGAGAGGGGGTGAGCCCTGATCCTGGATTTCCAGTTCCTTGAAGAAGGAGAGGGATGGGGTCCAGGAGTCTCTTGGTTTTTGTTTGAGGGAGGAGGAGGAAGTAGGCTCTCAAGGAAACAAGCTGAATTCTGAGGAAGAAAGGAAGTAATGAGGCTCCAGAATTCTGGCCACCTGAGGAATAAGGGTGGGCAGGGACCTGCCCATCTTTTACTCCAGAAACCAAATCAGTCTTCAAGAATCTGAGGTTTCCCCTTACCCTGCTGCCTGTACATGTTTTTTTCTTTTATCCCATAACTTATTAAATCACTATTTTCCCCAGAGACACCCATCCCCGCAGTGGATTTCTGGGTCTGGAAATAATATTGAGGTGGGTTCCTGATGTATAGGTACTGAGGCAAACATCCCAGGAAGGTAGCTAGGGGGATTCACCGCTGGCATCTGAAAATGTAGGTTTGGACAGTTGAGTCTCTCCGAGAAGGCCCAGGGTGTGGGCAACGTGGGCTCCGTGCCCTGAGCTGGGAGCATGGAGGCTTGCCTTCTGGGCCTAGCCCTAGGGGAACTTAGAGGGTGGAGTGAAGCCAATCTGCTGGTGAATTTCAGGCTTAGTCTCCTATCTGGACATCTGAAAACCCTGGCCTCCGGAGAGGGTCTTCTGGGTCCTAGAACCCGGTATCCTGGAGCCCGGAGTGGCTCTGTGGGCCGCGGAGTCTGAGGTGGAGAGAAGCGGGCTGGATGCCAGGATGGCTAGACTAGAAGGCAGAAAATCCTCCGGACCAGGATAAATATCCGTGGGCGCCCTGGTGGTTCCAGGCTCGGGGGCTAGACGAGGGGCAGGGCGGCCTCTCCACCTACGGAACACGCAAGCGCGCGCGCACACACACACACACACAGGCTCTCTCTCACATTCATATACGGAGGCGCACACGCGCACACACCGGGGTGGCTCCATTCGGCCGCGCCCCCGCCCCGCAGCGCTCTGCGATCAGCACTGGGGACAGCGCCAGTCACCCGCGTTCGGGGGCGGGGTGCGGGCGGGGCCTGCGCCTCTGTGTCTCTCCAGAGGGTCCTGTCTAGCCGCCGAACAGGTAGGAGCCGCTGGGAGCCCCTCCCCAAGCTCCATGCTCATTCCCATCCCTAGAGAGATGGTGTGTGTGTGTGTGTGTGTGTGTGTGTGTGTGTGTGTGTGTGTATAGAGAGATGCTGTGTGTGTGTGTGTGTGGTGGTGGAGGGGATACCGGGGGAGACCAACAGATGGAGGGGGAGGGCTGGAGCCTGATTCCGAGAGAATGGGACTTAGAGACAGGTGTGGAGACAAAGAGCCACAAGGAAAGGAGGCGCAGGCGGGGGAGAGGGTGCGAGACCTCGGTAGACGGGGACCAGACAGCAGGCAGAGGCCAGCCAACCCAGACGGGGGAGCGGCGAGAAGCCGATGGGGAGATGGACAGAAATAGGGAAGGCGTCGGTTTGGAGAGGAATGGAGGCCCAGTCGGTCACGAGGACAGGTGTGAAGACAGAGCTCGGGGCGCGCGGGCGAGACAAACAGACTGAAAAGGATGCGGGGGCCCAGCCAAGGCAGCAGGGCAGCCGCCCGCCGCCCACATTCCCCGCAGGAATGGGAGACGGAGGGCAGCCTGAGTCTTCACGCCCCGTTCCGGGGCAGGTGTGGAGGGAAGAGCCAGCTGCGGGCGAGAGCACGGACCGGCAAGGCCGCGTCGTCCCCAGCTCCGCCTATCTCGGATGTCTGGGTCTGGGGTCCCAGGCGGAACGGGGCTCCTAACCAGCTCGCGCCTCCGGGACTCCACTTGTGTGCGTAAGCCCCGCCCGTTGTCTTAGCAACAGGCCGTTGCCGGGGCAACCAGCACTCCCTTCACCCCGCCCGAGCTGAGCCAGCCGTTGCTCTGGGCAACCCGGTGCGCCGGTTCCCACGCCCGTCTTCGCCCACGACTGGTTCAGGCCCCGGGGAAGGGCAAGGAAGGAGCAGAAGTCATCGGGACTGGATTCCTGGGGGGCCTAAAGGGAGGGGGCGTCCCTTTGGACGGGAACGTGGTCCCGGAACCCACGCCTAGCCTCCGCCCTTCATAGCAGAAAGGCTAAAACTACAACTCCCAGCACGCCTCGCGGTAGTCGATCGGCTCCTACACGGCCGGCTGCCCAGGGGGCCGATGGAAGTTGTAGTTCTTTGTTGTTCGGCGGGCTCAATGGACTCACGGGGTGGTTGGGGTTTGTGGGGGGGGGCGGCTAGGGCGTTTGGGTGCCTCCGCAGGAAAAACCATAAGACCCCGCCGTCATGTTCCCGGAGCCCCCAACACCCAGGCCTCCAGCGCCCGACACGCCTCCTGACTCGAGTCGCATCAGCCATGGCCCTGGTGAGCGAGACCAGGGGTGGAGTAGAGGGAAAGCCTCGTCGGGATTCTCGGGGGCGGGATCCGGATCGGGTGTTTTCAGGCTGGTGGGCTGACAAATGCGGGTAAGGTCATAATAGGAATCTTGGATTGGAATCTAAATGAAATGAATAAGGAACAGGTTTGCAAGAAAATGAAGACCCACATCAAGGGTGTGGAATGGAATGGAACCTTGGATTGGTGAATTGGAAGATTCACCTCTCCCTTCTTTTAAAGATAGGGAGACTCGGGGAGAGGTTAAACCTTAAAGCACAGGGGTTGAGCAGAAAAATTAGAATGGGGGTAGAAGAGGAGGTAGAACTAATAAGCAAGAAAATCTAGATGGTGTCAGCCTGCCATAAGGCTTCAGTTTTATATATGAGATGAGCTGGAAGGAAAACATGGGACTAAAATGGAATGGACATGGCCGGAGGGAAAACAAGGCAGGATTTCAGCTAGCACACGGTCCAGGTCTGAATGACCGGGTTGCTTCTCAGGACCTCAGTGTTTGCTGTTTCCATGCCCTCTGCAGTGCCCCCCTGGGCTCTGGCCACCATCGTGCTGGTCTCAGCCCTCCTCGTCTTGAGCTGCTGTTTCTGTCTCTACCGGAAGCGTTGTCGGAGGCGAATGGGCAAGAAGAGCCAGGCCCAAGCCCAGGTTCACCTTCAGGAAGTGAAGGAGCTGGGCCGGAGCTACATAGACAAGGTGTGGCCTGACCCAGTCCCTCAGCCCTGCCCGCTCCTGCGCCCATGCTCCTCTCAGTGGCCCAGCAGCTCCCCTGTGTGTCTAGCCCCAAAGTGGATCTGGGGACCTGGAGATGAACCAGACACCCCCAGGAACCTCCAATCAGACGGGAAGTCAGACGTTCACACAGACATTGACAACACAGGGCAGTATGTGCCACACTAGAGGCAGTGCAGGGCATATGGGAGCACAGAGAAAGGAGCTGACAGCCCGGAGGGTCTGAGAAGGCTTCCGGAGTTGACTTCTGTGTTGAGACCCAGAGGGACTCAGTTAAGTGAGAGCAGAGAGAATGACATTCTACCTCGAAGAGCACATGCTGAGGCTTGGAATCCAGATTCTGAGGGCTATTTGGAGAACAAGCTCGTTTTTCACAATAGCTGGGATATAGCATAAAGGTATCCTGTGCTCTAGGCTTCCCAGATGGCGCCAGTGGTAAAGAACCTGTCTGCTAATGCAGGAGACATAAGAGATGTGGGTTTGATCCCTGGGTTGGGAAGATCCCCTGGAGGAGAACACAGCAACTCACTCCAGTATTTTTGCCTGGAGAATCCCGTGGCTGCAGGAGCCTGATGGGCTGCAGTCCATGGGGTCACAAAGAGTCGGACACAACTGAAGCGACTTAGCACACACGCATATATTCTGTGCTTGAGGGTGAGACTTCTAGAGAGCTCAGTGGTACCCACGTAATGAAGGGAACTGGGAGCCACAGAAGTTTTGAGCGAGAGCGGGACAAGGTCACATGGCTTTTAAGATGAATCCCCTGGAGCCCACGTGGAGGACAGATCTGGGGCAAGGAGACCAAGGAGGAGGCTGTAGGACAGTCCGGTGAGGTTGACGCAAACATGAGTAGGAAGAGGCCATTGCGCGGAAAGCTGCAGGCTCAGGTATCTGAGCATTATACCTCTGAATGCAGAGCGGAATGAGGCTCTCCTGGGAGCCAGAGAGTCCTAGGTTTCCAACCCAGAGTAACTGGCTCTGTGACCTTGAGGAATTTACTGTTGCTGTCTCTGAGCCTCGAGGTCATAGTCCATAACTAGTATTTCCTCTCCTCCCTTTTCAACAAATAGCTGTTACAATTATCACCCATAAGGGATGCCCTTTAGAGCCCTGGTGTCCAGTCTCCAGCCCTCTCCCCTATAGCTGGTAGCTCCAAACCCCGTCAGCATCAGAATCACTTTGGGTCCTTGTTGAAATGCAAGTCCTGGATCTTGCGCCAGACTAACTGAGTCAGAATCTCTGAAGTGAAGGCATTCTACCACACTACTACTACTATTCACATTACATTTTGAAAATCAGTGACTAGAAGTCTTCTGACTTCGTTGTGCTAGTTTAGAATGGCAAATATGCACTAGATATGCCGTTTTTCCTCCACGTTTATCCGCCCAAGATCACTAATCAACGTAGCAATTTGGACCATCACCCCAATACGTCCACTAACGCAGAACTAAAATCTGCATCCATCCTGTAGGCAGCGAGACGCTGTCAGCGCTTGTTCTTTTAGTCTAGGCATGACAAACACACCGCACGTACATCACAGCGTGTGTGCTACCGGTAGCAGACATCACTAATCAAACACTGACCGGCATACCACCGTGAGTGTTGCCATGGCGCTCCGCCGCTTGTGGCAGACATCACTAGTCAAACACCGACTCTGCTTAGCTAGCAAATGTTAAGGTTTAGCCTGAGGGTTCTGTGACTCTCCCTTGGCTTCCGAAGCCTGGAGGACACCACTGTCAGGGGAGGAGTTCACCTGCCCTTGCCCCTGGCTCCCTAAGGTGCAGCCAGAAGTGGAGGAGCTGGAGCCGACGCCCTCGGGGCCAGGGCAGCAGGTGGCCGAGAAGAATGAACTAGGACGACTGCAGTACTCACTGGACTATGATTTCCAGAGTGGCCAGGTGGGTGTGGGGCTGGGGGGAAGCTTTGGACAGGAGGGCGCCAGGAGTTCTAGTCCCTTCTTGGAGGAGGCTCCAGAAGGGAAGCTGAGACGAGGGTCCTCTCATCACTGTCCAGTTGCTGGTGGGCATCGTGCAAGCTGAGGGGCTGGCAGCCTTGGACATAGGTGGCTCCTCTGACCCCTACGTGCGGGTCTACCTGCTGCCAGACAAACGGAGGCGGCACGAGACCAGGGTGCATCGGCAGACGCTGAACCCTCACTTTGGGGAGACTTTTGCCTTCAAGGTGAGCTCATGGCCTCAGGGCTCCGTGCCCGGCAGCCCGCCCCCAGTCTAGAACACTGGGCGCCACAGCCCCTTCAGCTTTTACTGGTGGCAGCTACCACCCGCTCTCTGGACTATTCCACTGGACACTGTGCTGTCCTTTCGAGAGCACCGCTGGCCCCTGGACTGTTCCGCTGGCCCTTGGGCTGCCCCATGTGGGCTCCATGGACACCCGACTCTTCCTTGGGACCCCCACTGCCCCCACTCACCGCTTTCCGCGTGGATGTGCTGCGCCTCACTTTGCGCTTTCTGTGCGCCCGCCCCTCACCCAGGTCCCCTACGTGGAGCTGGGGGGCCGGGTCCTGGTCATGGCGGTGTACGACTTCGACCGCTTCTCCCGCAACGACGCCATCGGGGAGGTGCGGGTCCCCATGAGCTCCGTGGACTTGGGGCGGCCAGTGCTGGCCTGGCGCGAGCTGCAGGCGGCGCCTCGCGAGGAGGTGAGCGCTCGTGGCCATGCTCCCACGGCTGGGCCCGCCCGCCGCAGGCCCAGGCCAGTCAGAACACAGGCCTCCGGGGTGGGGGCGGGGCTCGCTCCGGACCGTACCATTCCGAGCCGAGTGGGCGGGAAGGGAAGGTGGAAGAGGGGCTGCAGGCGGAGCCCGGGCCCCGGGGACCGGTCCGTCTTCCTTTCTCAGCAGGAGAAACTAGGAGACATCTGCTTCTCCCTCCGCTATGTCCCCACTGCCGGGAAGCTCACCGTCATCGTTCTGGAGGCCAAAAACCTGAAGAAGATGGACGTGGGAGGGCTCTCAGGTGTGCGGGAAGCCTCAAACGACGGCGCTGGTGGGCGGAGCCGGGTCTCAGGCTAAGGCTCCCGCAGTTTCTGGGCCCCCGAGGGTCTCACAGCGGAGAGGACGGTCCAGGCTGCCGTGGACGGTTTAGATTCGATTTGGGCACAGAGAGAGGGGGGCCTGAGGGGTCCATGGGCTATCTCTATGTTGTTCCGAAGAAGAGTCTCGGGCGTTCTCCTTGGACTCAGCAGAGGGAGGGGGGCTAAAAGAGTCCTCCTCCCTCCCCCCAGATCCGTATGTCAAGGTCCACCTGCTGCAGGGCGGCAAAAAGGTGCGGAAGAAGAAAACCACCATCAAGAAGAACACTCTGAACCCCTATTACAACGAGGCCTTCAGCTTCGAGGTGCCCTGCGACCAGGTCCAGGTGAGGGCACACCTGCCCATCGCCCCTGCCAGAGCAGCCCTTCCCTCTGAGCCGCAGGCCCTTAGAAACCCCCGTTGCTAAGGGAGGAGAGACTCCTTAGCAGCCCCTAGGAGCCCGGTCTAAGGGGTCTGATTGTGTTCTCAGTCTGTTTCCCCGACAAGGACCAGGAAGCCCCGCCCACCCAAACAAGACGGGACGCCCAGCGCCCGTAGGAGCTCTGGTTACTGAGAAAAAGAGACCCGCAACCCGAAGGCCAGGCCCACCTACCCATTTAACAGTCTTGAAGATGTGCCCCCATTAGGACCCTGCGTGCTGAGGAGCCTCTGAGCAACAGAGGTCCTGAGGGTTTATTTGCTTTAAAACCTGGTCGCAGAAAGACTCCAGTGCACTCCTGTAACCGTCCAGCAGCGCCCTCACCCCCTCCCTCTCCAAGCTCCAGATGAAACCTTAGCCCAGGCACCTATGGAGGCTCCCCAGAACTCAGGGAGGGGGTCTCCTTAGCAATAATAATGAGTCCCTGTGCGTTCTTACCCCACTTTCTGTCTCCTCTTCCTCCCCTGCCCACCCCAGAAGGTGCAGGTGGAGCTGACTGTTCTGGACTACGACAAGCTGGGCAAGAACGAGGCCATCGGGAGGGTGGCCGTAGGGGCAGCGGCCGGGGGGGCTGGCCTGCGGCACTGGGCAGACATGCTGGCCAACCCCAGGCGGCCCATCGCCCAGTGGCACTCGCTGCGGCCACCTGACCGAGTGAGGCCACCGCCAGCACCATGATGCCCACCCTCAAGCCCCTGACCCCAGGCCCCTGCCCAAAGCCACGCCCATGCCCACCTTTAAGGCCAACACTCCCCCACTCTACCCACTCCTGCCTTCTCCCCCACCATTATGCCAATCATGATAACTTGCCAACTCCCCCGATACAGCACATACCCAGAAGCCCCAGGGGCCCCTGGGGAAAGGGAGGCAGTCCGGCCTGCCCCCACCCCAGGGTCCCGCCCTCTGCTTTGACAATCAGTGATCCCAGCCTACTATTCCCTTGGCTCCCAATGCCCCTTTCCTGTGCAGGATCACCCACTCCTGTCCCCAGTCTGATTCCTACACCACTCCTGGGACCAAATAAATATTCAGCAACTTTGCTGGCCTGGACCAATGCTCCTTGATGGGGGTGCTCAGGGGTGGGGGCTGGGAACCCAAGAGGGGCCGTCCAGGGGTGGGATCACACAGGGGCGAATGAGGACAGGGCTGCCCATCCTGGAAATTCACAGGGAAACTCACCCACCCACTCACCCACCCCTTCATCCAGCCACCCTGTCACCAACCCACTCTCCCATTCACTTCTTCATCGGTTCATTCACTTAGCCCTCAAAGCTTCAGTTTCCTCATCTGAAAAGATCGTGATAATGGTAACACCTACTGCATGTTTGCTCTGAGAAGTCAGTGAGCATTCACTTAGTTATTCATGAATTTATCTGCTTCCTTGCCCATGATTTATGTAGATTTTCATACCCATATTTCCCTCCCTTCTTTTTATCCCCTTCCTTTCATCATCTGGGGTGCAGTTTCAGTCTCTGGTCAGGGAACTAAGATCTCAGAAGGCATGTGTCATTAGTCAGTCAGTCAGTTCAGTTGCTCAGTTGTGTCTGACTCTTTGTGACCACATGACTGCAGCACGCCCGGCCTCCCTGTCCATCACCAACTCCCAGAGCCTACTCAAACTTATATCCATCGAGTCGGTGATGCCATCCAATCATCTCATCCTCTGTTGTCCCCTTCTCCTCCTGCCTTCAATCTTTCCCAGCATAAGGGTCTTTTCCAGTGAGGCAATTCTTCGCATCAGGTGGGCCAAAATTCTCCCTCTCCCTCAAAAAGAGATACAGTCAAGAGCCAGATCACGTAGGTGCTAGGGGATAAATCTAACAAGCTGGGATTGTCTGTACCTGCAGTGAGGACCCTCAGGAGGTTTTAGAGGGAAGTGGCATGGCTTGGTCTATTTTAAGATTCCTCTGGCTCCTCCGTGGAGGAAGTGTTTTCGGGAGTGGTGATGATGAGGATGAAAGGCAGTAAGTCTCGCTGGAGAAAGTGAGCATCTGGGGCTCCAGTGGGCTGAGGGACTAGAACCCTGGAGGGACTCAGCCATCATTTCCTTCCCAGCGCCCAGGACTGTCCTCACCAGGCAGATGAACCACCGTTCAGTCCACCACTCGCCTGCTGACTTCACGTTACCCTTCCCATTTTACAGAGTGGGAAATGGAGGCAAAGAAAGAGTGACTGACTTATCTAAATTCATGCAGCTGGGTGAGCAGAGAAGGCAGAGAGCCAGCACTCTTTGAGTGCCGTTCCCTGAGCTGAGTGGTAGGGATGATCTAGAGACATGTCTGACTTGAGTCCCTGACCTTGTGGGACTTGCAGACAGGTCAATTCATTGCATTGAATTGCAAGGGGGATTCTTAACCACTGGGCCACCAGGGAAGCCCTTACTGCAATTAAAAAAAAATCCAAACTAATGCAAAAAAGAAATCCAAGATGGAAAAGTATTAAAAAATTAATGGCAGGATCTGACCTTTACTTGGGCCTCCTTGCCCTAGTCTAATCCTGGCCCTGTTCTAATAAAACTTTATTTACAAAAGTAGACAGCCTGTGGTCATAGTTTGCCAATTTCATTTCTTAAACGACTGCATTAAAATAGCATTTTCTTCCTACAGGTACAATAGTTGTAACTAACCTTGAGACCATTGATAATAGTAAACTATAATAAAATAGGAAGTGGTGAATTTTGAGTATGTTTACTTTTATTTAGCATATTTTACTGAATTTAATTTTTAATAATTAATTTAGTAAAACTAATTTTTAGTAATGATTGTGTGTAACAACCAGGTCACAAAGTTCTCTAAAATTTAGCAACCAGGGGCCAGGCTAGCTGGTCCCAGCACTTGGCTGTGTATCCCACCTGGTGAGAGAAGTCCTGTGTGGGGATACGGAAGTGTACAGTTTGAGGTCTAGTTCACCTCAGTTTAACTTGGGTTTATCAAGATTCTGTTCCGTTCTGTCTAAAATGTTGGATCGATCCAGGCCTCCTGCTTCCGGAAATTTGGACCGCCCCAGGCTCCGTCCCAGCCTCTCCTGGCCCCGCCCCTTCTCCGGCTCTGTCGTCATGACGACGCGTCCTCAAGCCCTCAAGCCCGGGTGGTCGTCCTTCAGCCCTTCCATTGGCCAAAAGTTCGCAGCCGGCAGGTCTCGCTCACTCTCATTGGTCCGTTGATCGCGGCCGTGCCAGCCCGCACACTTCCATTGGCCGAATGATTGAAAAGGGCGGGGACTATGGGCAGCAGTTGAGGAGGGGCCTTCGGACCTCAGCGCAGCCCAGAGCGGGGAGGGAGGGGGTGTCTCGGGTTATTTGGAAGGATAAAGGTGAGGCGGGTGGAAGGGGCGAGAAGTCGGGGCAGGTGCGAGGGGAACAGGTGGGCAATGGAGACTCGATGTTTGGGGATTCCCAGGTTGTGCGGACCGCACGGCGATGACTACGCCAGCAGGCTCGGGCACGGGCTTTGGCTCTGTGTCCTGGTGGGGCCTGTCCCCGGCAGTGGACCTGCAGGCTGAGAGTGAGTCCCCCGCTCAGGATCACAAATCGTGCGACACAACAGCTGCCTTCACAGCCTGGCCGACAGCGCGCTAACGTTCTCGGGGGCTCCAAGGCCGCCCCCGTCCAGTGGGCAGTCTGGATGCCTCTGTGGACTCCGAGTTCCGGAACGCTTAGAGGCACAGCTCCGGTTGAAACCGAGGCCAGGGGTGCAAGTCCTGCTGAGGGTGGCTGCAAGGGACGCTCTCCAGGTCGCAAACTCCAGCCTGCTATCATCTTACCAGGTCCTCCTGTGGATCCAGATTCGCAGGCTGATACAGAGCACGAGACCCCAGAACTAAATGTCCTGCTGTTGGGTTCCGTGGATGGGCGGCACCTGCTACGGACCTTGGCCCGGGCAGCTCTCTGGCCTCGAAGGAGGTTCCACGTGAGCTGGGATTATGGGGTCTTGGAAGGAGAAGGATGAAGATGAGAGCCCAGTTTCCTGAGTCCTTGAGGGAGGAGGGGGCTGGGGACCCAGAGTCCTAGGTCCTGGGGAAGGATGGGGCTGGAGTTGGGGGCTCCTGGGTTGAAGTAGGGGTAAGTGTCTAAGGATGGGGCCTCCTGAGTAGTGACGGAGAGGAGGGTTCTGAGTGCCCACGTTTCTGTGATTGAAAGAGTGGGACTGGTACACAGTCTCTGGAGTCCTGTCGGAGAAGGGGGCTGAGGTTTCCCACTCCTGGGTCTGCTGGGAGCCAGGGACACAGATCTCAGAATCGTTCTTCCCTGCCCATCCTTTTAGTTTTATGTGCTGGAGAATAATCTGGAAGCTGTAGCCCGACATGTGCTGATCTTCAGCCTAGCCCTGGAGGATCCTGAGAAGATGGGGTTGCAAGGTCAGCAAAGACCCAGGCCATCTGGCCCCCGTCCCCTTCCCCCTTCCTGCAGGAGTTCTGGCATTTCAATGGTGAAATTAAGCACTTTGCACATTGTTCCCTGTCCCATCATTTGCTCACTCACTTGGTAGCCCTTACAGCCTCAGCTCTTCCTACCTTTGAAATGGGGCTAAAAAGAATGCTTCCTAGAATCATTCAGAGAATTCCAGGAGATAATCCACATAAAACTCTCAGAACTGTGTGTAACAGAGTTTAAGCATTCAAAACCTCCTGATGAGGGGGAAGCCCAAAAAGATCCAGGGACTTCCTGAGAGGTCGTGAGTCCCCGGGAAGTGGGGACGGTTTGGCTGACCTGAGCTCCGTCCTGCCCAAAGCCTCCCTCAGGCCTGAGTCTCCCCTAGTGAGAGGTATGAACCTCAGGGAATCTGCCTGGAGGAGGCATCCTTGGAAGTGAGACTATAACGAGGAAGGGGAGGAGGAGGATTTGGGTGGGAAATTGACTGTTTTCCAGTAACAAAAACTTCAGTTTGGTGCCTAGAGCCAAGTCTAGACTCAGGCAGGTTGTGTTCAAATTCTGACTCTGCTTGCTGCGTGGCCTTGGGCTAGTGTCTATCCCTTTCTGGGCTTCTGTTTCTACATTTATAAAATGAAGATCCTAAAAGTTCTTCCACCATAGAATTCTTATAAGGGTTTAATGAAAAAAAATGCATGGGTCCTGGCTTATGATATAGACTCCACACATATTAGCGATTATTGTTACCATGATTAAGGATGGTAGGTGTCATTAACAGCCCAGGGCTTTCAGAACACATTGCACAGATTCCTTAATGCACCTTGTAAAGGCTCTTAAACTAGAACTTAACTAACCTAACTAAAAGTGTATCATTCTCTCTTATAAGATTCTTAAACAACTAAAATGAAACTATATATTGAAATCGATATATATTGCATATACAACTAAAGGTAAATAGTTCTGTCTTAGTTGCTCAGTCGTGTCCAACTCTTTGCAACCCCTATAGACTGTAGCCTGCCAGGCTCCTGTGTCCATGGGATCTCCCAAGCAAGAATACTGGAGGGGGTTGCCATTCCCTTTGCCAGGGGATCTTCGCGATCCAGGAACCGAACCCGGTCTCCTGCATTAGCAGGCAGATTCTTTGCTGTTGTGTTACCAGGGAAACCCTAGTTCTGTCTTAAAAGATTCTGCTAACACACATAAATCTTCATCTCCATCTATATCTATATATAACTTTTCCTTTTTTTTTTTTTTTCTTAACCTTTCCTTTTGTAAGGCAAGAGAAACTTAAGCAGGAAATCCAGGGTTGGGGTTACCTGCAGGGCATGGTGGTAGGAATAGGCGAGGAGACCCAGGTGAGGTGTAAGTTGCTCTTCGTATTTTAGCTTTGGGGATGGGTGGGGAACTTGCTTGGGTCCGCCATGTTCATTACACGACTATGGAAGAATACGATCACTATAAAGTGGGTATGCGCCGCCGTCACGGATCTCACGTGTGGACTCACCCCTCTGCTCCCTCCGTGTATGTTCTCCCCCGTCCCCGCAGAGAGAAGCGAGACCTTCCTGGAGGTGTGGGGGAACGCGCTGCTACGCCCCCCTGTGGCCGCCTTCGTGCGCGCCCAGGCCGGCCGCCTGGCTCACCTGGTGCCGGAGCCCGACCGCCTGGCGGAGC